TGACATGCCACCACAACCTCCGTCGTGGGTGGATGACTTGGCGGACAAAGTCGAAATTGAACGTTTGAAGAACATGGGAGTGATGATTGAGGAGGAGCTTTTCAATGGACCTCCCATCAACTCCAAGTTGACAACCAAACATGTCCATGATTGGCGCTTGAAACCCTTTGAACAAGGGAAGAAGTGGCTCAGGCGTTCACGCCTGGTGGCCCGTGAGTTTGCATGGGAGAAGAGGTCAGACACCTTCTCTCCAGCGACATCAAGTCACACAATGAATGTCCTTCCAGTTGTCTATCTTGGACGCCTAGCTGAGGAGGAGAACTCTGAAGGCCTACCAAGTGGAGATCCATGTACACTTGGTGTGGTCGACATCAAAGATGCTTTTCTGATGGTGGACCAACAGGAACCACAACGAGTTGTTCTCCCAACAGGCAACTTTGTCCTGCTCAAGAACTTACCAGGGCAAAGATTGGGCGCAAAGAATTGGTTTTGGCACTTTCATGATTTTCTTTCAAAGGAATTGCAAATGGAGTGGAGTGCAGAACAGCCGTGCTTGTGCAAGAATTCCAAATGTGCCTTGATGATCCACGTGGACGATGTGATGTTTCTTGGAAGCAGCAAATACTGGAAAGAGATGTTTTTGCCCAAACTCAAAGAGCGCTACACAGTCAATGCATCTCAGCTTGAAGGCATTGGCAGTTCCATCAGCTTTCTCAAGCGCAAGCTGGTGAGAATTCCAAATGGTCTTGCTTTGGTCCCTGGAACTAGCGTGGATAAGCTAGTGCAATCTTTCGAACAATGGTTTGGGAAAGTACGTTTTCAGATGGTGCCATGTGACAACAGCATTCAGCTTGAAGATCTTTCACAACCGCTTTCAGCAGAAGAATCCTTCCACTACAGATCGGTGGTAGGCATGTGCCTATACTTAGCGCGTGATCGTCCTGACATCATGTATGTTGTCAAGGAACTTTCCCAAAAGATGTCTTCACCTACAGCTGTTTCTCGTCAGCGTTTGAGGAACCTCATCGGCTATTTGAAGGGTACAGGTGATTTTTGCGTTGTTTTGGAGATGCCTGTGCCAGGCCATGGACGTTGCAAAACATCAGAGGAGAAGACTTGGATTCTTGAGTCACATGCAGACAGTGATTGGAGTGGCAACAAAAGCCACAGGAGATCTACAAGCTGCGGCCTTCATGTGATGAATGGCCAGTACATGTTCGGTTCAAGTCGCACACAACGTGTGGTGTCATTGAGTTCATGTGAAGCAGAACTCCATGCCCTTGTGTCAACATTGAGCGATGGCATCTACATTCGAAGGTGCTTTGAGTTTGTGATTGGTGCCAAGATTCAACACATTTTGCTGACAGACTCTTCATCAGCACGTCAGCTGATCAGTCGTCAAGGGACAGGCAAAGCAAAGCATGTTTCTGGCAAGATTTTGTGGATACAGGATCATGTGAGACAGGCATTTGTGGACATATCACAGATTTCAACAACTTGGAACGTTGCTGACATTGGAACAAAACCTTTGTCCAAGCAGCGCATGCAGCTTCTACTCCATGAAGTGGGAGTACATAGCGGCAGTGGTGAATTTCGAGTTGGACAAGAAGAGTTTGAACAACAAAGTTTGCGTCACACAGGTGGACCACAAATCAGCAAATTGGCAAAGGCGGTGGCCCGAGTCATTATGGTGCGAGGCCTTGAGCCTCTTTCAGTTGCAGGTGCTGGAATCCCAGGAGACGATTTGCAATGCAGTGCAGACATGGTGGTACAATCCAACGATGATGGCCACTTTTGGGTCTTCTTCTGGATGGCAGTGCTTTTTCTGTTATGGACTGGTTTCGTTTACAAAGCATGGAAGTTTGCCAAGGATGTGCGTGAGGAACTCTCCAGCCATTCATACCAATTGGCTGATGGAGATCGATGCTATGGCAATCAAGAACAGAGACTGAACAGTCAACAGGAAAGCTTGAGTGCACTGGAAGGTTGGGTGGCCAGCGTTGAGGGCCAGATCACTATGGTGAGCGATTACTCTGAGTCGGTTCATCATGGCTTGGTGGAGCTTGGTGGATTTACAAGGCTGACAGATTTGACTCCTGATGAGAGGCGATGCATGTACAGTGCTGAACGTGCCAACCTGGTGTCACGCAACACAATGGGTGCAGATTACTACATGAGGTGCGTGCGCCAGCAGTTTGGTGGAGGACAGGGCCAAAACACAGATGGAGATGAGGCTATGGAATCAGAGTCAGACTCCCAGGCCGACGATCCACCAATGGCAGAAAATGCAGCCTCAGGTTCAGGAGACGGACCAAGCAGCAGCCCAACAGGCATGCTGAATCTACAGGATGACCTTGTGACTCAGTTGAATGCAGCACTGGCCAGGGAATCATACCGTGATGCCTCCATCATTCAACACCTGATGATGGACTTGCTGGATCTCAGCCACCAGAATGGATTCTACAACACAGAACGCCGCAACCGTTTTCTTGGGATGCTCAATCAGCGCTTCACTGAAATGCGTGACTATGCCAGATTCCATGGCAACCCAGATGTGGCTGCGGTGTATGAATCATACTTGCATTCCTGGAGGAGGTTCATGCATTGAGTTGTCTGGAGAACTAGCGCTACACCAGACAAAGGAGGAGTGCAAAAGATTTCCAACAGTGTATACCTCCAGAATGCATGTGCTCAGTTGTGCTTTCAGATTCACTTTCAGTTGTGAGAGACAGTCAGAAACGCAAGGATGACAGACGCACAAATCGAGAAGTGTCACAAGCCATTTTGCAGTTGAATCCATGAAACATGGAATCATTTCACATTACTTTGAGGCCTTAGGCCCAGGAGAAAACAGGAGTGGCCGCTGCTTCGCAAAACACAAACTGCGTTAAATACTTGAATTTTCCATTTGGTTGGCACCCGCGCTTGTTTCCAGAACAAATCAAGTCTTTTCAGTATCGGCATTGTGCTCGAGATGCGTCGATTGAGTTCAATCTTAGGGTTCACCCTTTTACTGATCTGCGTTCCCAAATAGATAGTTTCGTCCACACTTTTCAATTTTTGCCCATCTGCAAACGTGATTTGATTGTTTCTGTTGTAGGTGATGCATACGCATTTGTCTCTGTTTAGTTTTATGTTGTGTATTCTGATTCTTCTTCGATGTATCTCAGGTAATCTTTTGCAGTTTGGGTATTTTTGGCAATGACTAGAGTGTCGTCTGCGTACAAAAGTTCTTGAAACGTCATGTTATTGTTCTTGCGCCTCACATCGAAAAACAGGACGTTCGTATGCCAGAGTGCTGTTTTTCCATTGGTTTTCTTCAGTATTATGGATTGTTTTGAAGAATGGATGCTCATACAAAGCCTGAATGTTGTTGATCATTTTGGCGTCAATCTTCATTCGTTCCAGAACTTCAAGTAACCTGTGGTGTGATATTCTGTCAAAGGCCTCTTCCCAGTCCAAAAAAAATAATATTATGTTTTGGTGTCCGGCTTTTGCCAGGTCTTGTAATCGGCGCACGCAGAATAGAGGTTCTGAAGTACTTTTGCCCCTCCTGAATCCAAATTGTGTGTCACTTACAAACTGATCAGTGGCGTCTGCAATTTTTTTCTGCAATATTTTGGTCATAATTTTGTATGATGAATTCAGCAAAAAAAATAGGATGGTAGTGTTCAGGAAGCTCTGGGTTGCCTTTTTTACAAATAGAAACCACTTCTGCGTAGGCAAAATCATCAGGGTACGACTCTTCAGTCCACATTTGGTTCAGGATTCTCGCCAGCAACCTCAGGTTGTCTTCGTCTAGATAGTGAGGCCGTCTGGGCCTGGGGTTTTGTTTGTTTTTGATGAGCGTAAAGCATCATGTATCTCCTCGATCGTGATGGATCCTATATTGATAGGTGGTTGCGTGTCCACTACTTCTCTCTTGTCTACCTTGTCTGGTGGTAGGTGTTGGATACACGCCCAATGTCGTTGTTCTAAATATTCCACTAGCGCGTCGGCCTTTTTGTCTAGTGGAACTGATTGGCCATGAATATTTTTTAACTTATAAAAAAAAAGGTTTAAATGTAGACTTTTCAAACTTAACGCCTTTCCATTTTGCCCTGGCGGATGAAACATCTTCGAGCATCCTCAGTTTCCACTTTTTCTTGTCGCATCTTGTTGATCTCTTGATGGCTACATTGAGTTGCTGTTCAAGGTCTGAGTTGCTCTGTGCCCGAGCCGCTTGTCTATTTTCAATCAAACCCCAGTTGCTTCAGATAAGTACGCTTGTTTTTGTTCGGTTGGTATTTTGGTTAGAAACTTTTCTGTGGCCTGCTTGATTGCTTGTGAGAAATTCTTGTTGTTCACTTGTACACCGTCCCGGGATGAACAAAAGTCGAAATTTGCTCGGATGTCATCGTTGAATCTCATCTTTGCCTGCTCGCTTGGGTTTCTGAATCTCGCCTTCTTTCGTCGTTTCGAGCATTTTTCCAGCGTTTTGGACACAAAATGTGGTCAAGTTGGGCAAATCTATCAGGTGTCCATGGCGCCGCAAAACCCTCCGTCTCAGAAGACTTGAACGTGCACTGCTTTTGCGGCGGTTTTGAGAAATAGGTGCTTGTGATGATGTAATTGTTATATCTACAGAAATCAATAAGATACTGCAATATTTTTTTCGATGCACCAATAATTGTCTGATTGTTTTGGTCACTGCACATCTTTATTATATTTTGATTGCTTTGCAATTTCCGGCCCATCTTCGTGAACCTTTTCCTAGCTATGTATGTGCCTTGGTGGAAAAAATGTATATTTAACGAACTCCATTTTTTGGGGGGGATGCCAAAAAATGCGACCATGGCCATGTTGGTCCGATGTTGCGCAAGCATGCAATTTTGGTTCGCAATGCGATGCAATGCGTGATCAGCCTAATCGTTTACAAACGCAGCCGCTTGTGGATCACCAAACGGCTACGCCGTAACGCCCTGACGCATCGAAGGCGAAAAGCCAAAACAATGGCAGCAATGGATGACCGGGCCATTGTGACCACAGACAGCGAAAAGGACATTGAGAGCACCGCTACTGGAGGTTCCAGTGACAAGGTGTCGCCCCAATCTGGTGGAAAACTTTACTTGATGCTTAGCTGTTTATATATTTGATTTCGAATCTGGAAATAGCATATTTGGGGCAAGTCAAAGTCGACATAAAAATGCCAAAACAAGTGTGCATCAACGATTCACTCTTTGTGAACTTTGTAGTTCGGCACGTAGTGCGTGTGGCTAAACTTGCCAATTTCAGCGTTTTACAATTTCCGTTCCAATGTTGATTGCATCAGGAAGGATTCACTCCAATTTCTGAGATTGACATGGCCGTTGCTTCTGGGAAACACTTTGGAATGGTATGAGTTCGGCGTGTACAGCTATGTGGAAACTGAAATCGCAGACAATTTTTTCGAAGGTTCCTCAATGGGAGCATGGCTGGGCTATGCAGTGACTTTTGTTGCTAGGCCATTAGGAGGCATTATTTTGGGCGTCATCGCTGATCATTGTGGTCGAAAATTATCCGTGAACCTGTCTTTGGCGGGAATGATCCTGGCCACTGTTGGTCAAGGTTGCCTTCCAGGCAAATACTTCGGAGGTGATTTTCAGCTTGTGGGTTTTGTCCTGTTGATGATCTGCAGGGCCTTGCAAGGCCTTTCAGCCGGTGGTGAGATTGGTGCAGTGTCAGCATACCTCATGGAGGTTTCACCCGTGCGAACCATTGGCATGGCAGTGTGCATGATCTCTGTTGGTAGTCAGATTGCTTGGGCCTTTGCCAGTGCCATGTTGGCACTGCTGAACCAAGCCCTCGGAAAGGAACTGATGCTGGTTTGGGGCTAGCGGATTCCTTTTATCGTATCAGCTGTACCTGGTGTGGTGGCCATGTGGGGTCGGAATCAAATTCAGGAGACCGAAGCCTTTGTGTCAGAGGTGCGTGACAATGAGGGTCAGCAGCGTGTGTGCCAGAGTCTTCTTGAGCTATTGATCCATTACCCAGTGGCCCTGTTGATTGGCATTGGAAGTGTTTGTGCCACAGCCACCATGTGGTTTGCACCTCCATTTTGGACCATCAGTGCCGTTCTTCAGGATTTGGGTGCCTCGGATGCCCTGTGGGTGGGAAATTCCTGTCAGTTGGTCGGTCTAGCTGTGACACCCTTGGCTGGGTGGTTGGCGGATCGATATGGTGTTGCATGGACGACTTTCGTGGGAGCCATTTATGTGACTTTGGTGGGATTCCCTGTATACATGTGGTTGACCCTGGATTCCAGCCGTTCCGCTGCCTATCTCGGCGTCGGTCTCTTCTTTGGCATTGCCCAGGGATTCAACGGCGCGACCATCTATTTGTTCTGTGCGGAACTCTTCCCTGCACGGCTCCGTTGTCAAGGGATGGCGCTCAGCTACAACATTGGTATGGACCTTAGTGCACTCCGCCAATTCCGCGGTTAGGTCTGAAACATCCAATCAACCGCATATCGGATACACATTTTTTAATTCAAACTTCTTTTAAGCATGACACGTGTGTTAATGAAAGCTAGATTCCAGCATCAAGATTCCAATTTGACATATGCCGAATGCCTAGCATTGAGAACGAATGTGGCCATGGCCAGAGCTGAGGTGTGAGCTTCCTGGGTGGATTTGCAGCAGCAATCTCCCAGGCTTTGTACCAGGTCTCCGTGCACATTGCCCCAGGTGTCTACTGGTCCATCACAGGAGTCGTTACCTGCTGCACGGTCCTTGCTGCTCTGTTTCTTCAACGTCGCAGCCTGGTGAAGCTCACGCACCGCCGAGACGAGCCATATTTCGGTGCCTGAGTCGTCGTCTGCCTTTTGCTGAGTCTACTCAGTGAACTGCAGTCGAAGTCGAAATCCACAGCCGCATTTATCTCATTTTGTTGGAGCTCAAACCAGCTGCGTTTGGGCGAATTTTGGATTATGATATGTGCGTCCCGTGAAGTGCCTCACTTAACAGCTGTGAGCGCGCGGAGGCTTCGCACTTAGCTGGTCCAATCCCTGTACAGCGATCAGGAAAGATCAAGAACCAGCAACCGTTTGAACCGTTTCAATCAAATTGACGCATGTACAGCGAGTCTGAGACACGGCCAATGCGCCACTGCCCTTTCAGAGGATCTCAAAATGGTTGGATCAACTTGACTTGTGCAGTTGGGATGGCATATAATTACAAGTTAATCTTAATAGCAATTTTGCATTGATTGATGTTCCATGAACTCCGCTGCAACGGCAGTTTTTTTGGTTCGGTTTGCCTGCATCACTCGCTGTGCTGCTATTGCCCGGGGCCTGGCTGGGCGTTGAATTCCCCCACTTTTCTTGCATGTATGATATACATACAGTGATATGGGTTGGTCTAAAAATGGATACCTCTAATTCGAGTGGATTAGCACCCTTTGCTCCCCCAAATTGGCATAACTGGGGGTTACTCCCCCATCCTTTGGACCCATTTAATAAATATCAACTCAAATCCCTGCTGCAATAAACCAGTCGGTTGAGGTCATGGCTCAGCGACGCTCTCCAGTGGCTGTGCTGGCATTGGTACCTCGGTGATGGGGTTGCAGGTGTTGGTAGTCAACGTTGGCATTCGCCAATTATGCCCAGTTCGAAGCTTAAACATACTTAAATCACGACCGGAAATGAGGGTTCATGACGTTGATACTGCAATTTCAAAAGTGTCACGTCCGTTGTAACTGCTACAAAGCGGCTGCTACTTTTGTGCTTGTCGAACTCTGATAGCAGAGTTGAAGTATTGGTGGTGAAAAAAACTTCCCCCTATACTATATACATATATATATATATGTATGTATGTATGTAATGTAATGTAATGCAATGCAATGCAATGCAATGCAATGCAATGCAATGTAATGTAATGCAATGCAATGCATTGTAATGTAATGTAATGCAATGTAATGTAATGTAATGCAATGCAATGTAATGTAATGTAATGCAATGCAATGCAATGTAATGTAATGCAATGCAATGCAATGTAATGTAATGCAATGTAATGTAATGCAATGCAATGCAATGCAATGTAATGTAATGCAATGCAATGCAATGTAATGTAATGTAATGTAATGCAATGCAATGTAATGTAATGTAATGTAATGCAATGCAATGTAATGCAATGCAATGTAATGTATTGTAATGCAGTGCAATGCAATGCACTGCAATGTAATGTAATGCAATGCAATGCAATAGAATGTAATGTAATGTAATGCAATGCAATGTAATGTAATGTAATGCAATGCAATGTAATGTAATGCAATGCAATGAAATGCAATGTAATGTAATGCAATGCAATGTAATGTAATGCAATGTAATGTAATGTAATGTAATGCAATGTAATGTAATGTAATGCAATGCAATGCAATGTAATGTAATGCAATGCAATGCAATGTAATGTAATGCAATGTAATGTAATGTAATGCAATGCAATGTAATGCAATGTAATGCAATGCAATGCAATGCAATGTAATGTAATGTACTGCAATGTAATGTAATGCAATGCAATGTAATGTAACGTAATGCAATGCAATGCAATGTAATGTAATGCAATGTAATGCAATGCAATGGAATGTAATGTAATGCAATGCAATGCAATGTAACGTAATGCAATGCAATGCAATGCAATGTAATGCAATGCAATGTAATGTAATGTAATGCAATTTAATGTAATGTAATGTAATGCAATGCAATGCAATGTAATGTAATGTAATGTAATGCAATGTAATGTAATGTAATGCAATGCAATGCAAGGCATTGTAATGTAATGCAATGCAATTGCAATGCAATGTAATGCAATGCAATGCAATGTAATGTAATGCAATGCAATGTAATGTAATGTAATGTGATGCAATGTAATGTAATGTAATGCAATGCAATGTAATGTAATGTAATGCAATGCAATGCCATGTAATGTAATGCAATGCAATGCAATGTAATGTAATGTAATGCAATGCAATGTAATGTAATGTAATGCAATGCAATGTAATGTAATGCAATGCCATGCAATGTAATGTAATGCAATGCAATGCAATGCAATGTAATGTACTGCAATGTAATGTAATGCAATGCAATGCAATGTAATGTAATGCGATGCAATGTAATGTAATGTAATGCAATGCAATGCAATGTAATGTAATGTAATGCAATGCAATGTAATGTAATGCAATGCAATGCAATGTAATGTAATGTAATGCAATGCAATGCAATGTAATGTAATGTAATGCAATGCAATGGAATGTAATGTAATGCAATGCAATGTAATGTAATGTAATGTAATGCAATGTAATGTAATGTAATGCAATGCAATGCAATGCAATGTAATGCAATGCAATGTAATGCAATGCAATGTAATGTAATTCAATGCAATGCAATGCAATGTAATGTAACGTAATGCAATGCAATGCAATGTAATGTAATGCAATGTAATGCAATGCAATGGAATGTAATGTAATGCAAAGCAATGCAATGTAACGTAATGCAATGCAATGCAATGCAATGTAATGCAATGCAATGTAATGTAATGTAATGCAATTTAATGTAATGTAATGTAATGCAATGCAATGCAATGTAATGTAATGTAATGTAATGCAATGTAATGTAATGTAATGCAATGCAATGCAAGGCATTGTAATGTAATGCAATGCAATTGCAATGCAATGTAATGCAATGCAATGCAATGTAATGTAATGCAATGCAATGTAATGTAATGTAATTCAATGCAATGTAATGTAATGCAATGCAATGCAATGTAATGTAATGTAATGCAATGCAATGCAATGTAATGTAATGTAATGCAATGTAATGTAATGTAATGCAATGCAATGTAATGTAATGTAATGTAATGCAATGTAATGTAATGTAATGCAATGTAATGTAATGCAATGTAATGTAATGTAATGCAATGCAATGTAATGTAATGCAATGCAATGTAATGTAATGTAATGCAATGCAATGCAATGCAATGTAATGCAATGCAATGCAATGTAATGCAATGTAATGTAATGTAATGCAATAATGTAATGTAATGTAATGCAATGCAATGTAATGCAATGCAATGCAATGCAATATAATGTAATGTAATGCAATGTAATGTAATGTAATTTAATGTAATGCAATGCAATGTAATGCAATGTGATGTAATGTAATGCAATGCAATGTAATGCAATGCAACGCAATGTAATGTAATGCAATGTAATGCAATGTAATGCAATGCAATGCAAGGCATTGTAATGTAATGTAATGCAATGTAATGTAATGTAATGCAATGCAATGTAATGTATTGTAATGCAATGCAATGCAATGTAATGTAATGCAATGCAATGCAATGTAATGTAATGCAATGTAATGTAATGCAATGCAATGCAATGCAATGTAATGCAATGCAATGCAATGCAATGTAATGTAATGCAATGCAATGTAATGCAATGCAATGCAATGTAATGTAATGCAATGTATGTATATATTTATATTCCTAACCCGCCCCTTAGAAACTGAAACTTTGGTTTTGTATTGGATCCAGCCAGTGGGTATTCTTGAAATGATCAGATCGAAAAAGATCCAACCAGACACCGTGGTTTCATCCAGCTTTGCAGCAGAAGTCCCCTTCCAGGTGGTTGCTGCCATTTTTGTGGGTCAGCAATGCTCAGCCTTTCTTCCCAGCCCTCAACTAGTTGCACGAACGGAGATGGAACAGGCTGGGTGAAACGGGAAGATCTTTTTGAGAATCTGGGTGTTCCTGAAAATTGGGGTAACCCAAAACCATTGGTTTTCCTGTTTGGCGTCCCCTTTCGAAAAAGGGAGACCTTTATCGTAGATTCATATATTTTATCTGATTGCCACCCGGCTGCATTTTAGCATTACAGCGCTGATCGGCATTTGTCTGATGGGCTTAAAGAGACGTTACCTGTGGAGATTAGAATTACCTTCTGACAAGTAGAGAGGTGTTATTGGCCTTGAACACAGGGAGGGGCGATACCCACAAGTGATTGGCATTTTACACTTCCAAGCAAGATGACCATGGCCAAGTAGCTCACGCTTCCCTGTTTTTGGGCTTGGGCGTAGAAGGGTTGCTACCTCTTGGGGATAGAAAGACAGAAGGAATCCCATAGTTGCGTTGAAGGTAGATTTTGCAGCTCACGCCGATAATTATGCACGCCATTGTTCATAAGATGTTATTTTTCGTGATCATGACCTGCTAGCTTTCGAGAGCGAAATCAGTAAAGGAACCAGGTCAGCATCCCTCTACGTTTGTTGGTTGAGAGGCGCAGGGTGCTGTTGTCGCTGCTGGTTTGGCTGCTGCGGCTGCCATGCCTGAGCCAGCATTGGCGGCACGAGTGGAAGAGGAGGACGAGGCGGTTCTCTGATGTTCTCTGGCTATTTTTGCAAAACCCCCGGCTTTGATGATAAAATTGCGGGCTGGTACTACGCTTTACAAACTGGGGATCATTTCATCATCCATCATCGATGGCCACCGCTGAGCTGCGAACCAGCGCTTTTCTGAAAGTCAAGGCGATGTTTTTTGGTATTTTCTTTTGTGAAAAAAAAGTGTGGATTTTAACCATCAACAATGGAGATGCACCAGACTTTTGTGTATTGAATGGTCAGACAAGCCAGGTGGGACACAGATCGATGTTTTGCTTTTGAATCTCAGCAAAGCCGAGTGCGTTTAAAGGGCAGTGGGGCTAGTGGGGCTGCGGCCAGGCGGCCAGATGCTTTCTGCACTTTCCAAAAGGGAGACTTGTGTCCACCATTCCAAGACCAGAAATCCAACTGATCATGACTTCCCAGAATTCGAGGTG